GATGGAGGGTATCGAAGGCTTGTGGGAAGCCATTCGTGGACAAGCGAACAAACAAGAGCGCGTTTGGGAGAGCAGCCCCGTGCTCTTGCAGCAGTAACATGAATCGTTGCAGCAGAGAGCGAGAATGGAAACGAGTATTACTGGCAGTTGTTCGATCTGTCATGAGCCGAGCAATAGCAGCTCTGTTGCGGTAAAGGTGAGTACACGAATGCTAACAGTTGCAGTCGCAGCAAATCATAGCAGTTGTTGCGGTGGTGGTAGCTGGCAGAATTGGTGGTAGTAGCAATCGGGACGTGACAATTCATGGTAGAAACAGCGGCAGCAGTGCTAGCTAGTAGCAGCACCAGCAGAAGTAGCAGTAGCAGGGGCAGTATAAACACAACAGCGGCAAAAGCAGCAGCAAAGGTAGCAGTAGCGGGAATAGCCGTAGCCACAGTAGCCGAGGTCGCGGTGACGGTAGCTGCAATAGCCGCAATATGTAGTAGTATCGATTACATTAAGAATTGTAGTGGCGATAGCAAAAGAAAGCTGCGCAAACATTAATAACAATAGCACCCACAGTGGCGAGTAATTAACCGAGTAAGTGTGGTAACGGTGCTAATGGTATCAGCAACAAAAACAGGTACACCACCAATGTTGGTAATCGTCATCATCGTCGCCGTCGACATCCTAGTACGGGTGGCAGCAGCAGACCCTGTAGCGCGCATGATGATACGAGTAGTATGCATCACAACATGGGCAATCGTCTCAGTGGTGGTGACACTCGTTATAGCGCAAGCAGCAGCACCGGTGACAGCAGTGCTGCTAGAGGTGGGGGGAGTAGCACTCACAAGAACAGTACCCGCAACCACACTCTGGAAAACGGCAATATTTGTGGCACTGGCAGCAGTAAGCATCGCGCCGCTGCAAGAGTAGCACAAGCATGATGAAACGCAAGGCTACAGCTACAAGTACTAGCAGTAGCGCGGATGCTACCTGACATATATTAGTAGAGGGCCCTGCATAACTCGCTGCTTGGAATTAGTTGTTTGATTTTGATATTGGGCGTAGGAAGTCACATGACTTACAACTCAGGAGGTTAGCGTGGTAGAGCAAGCGGCTCAGGTATGTCGACACCGCATGCCAGACCGAGGAGTCGGCAGCAGCGCGGGCTGCGCATGGATCCGCAGCAGAATTCTCTGATAGCCCTAAACGAGTGGGCTCGATTCCCTTGACAAGACTACAGTGCGTGATCTAAGCGTCGTGCTCCAAGCTACCTATGTCCGCGCGCACCTCATGTAATTCACAAGCCAATGCCAGCCCCTCGGGACTTCTCAAAGCGACATCCTCCCCCTGCTCCTCATCTTCGTACGTCTGCGTCACCGTCACTGTGCTCCCCTGTCAGGATCATCCGCATTCGCACTCCTTCCCCCCCCAGATGGGACACGCCGCCCGACGTCTGCGCCATCATCACTGTGCTCCCCCATCAGGATCATCCGCACTCGCAGTCCTTCCCCCCCCAAATGGGTCATTCCGCCCCCAGATGGGACACGCCGCCCGACGTCTGGGCCATCATCACTATGCTCCCCCTATCAGGATCATCCGCATTCGCAGTCCTTCCCCCCCCAGATGGGACACGCCGCCCGACGTCTGCGCCGTCATCACTGTGCTCCCCCGTCAGGATCCTCCGCACTCCCAGACATCCGCCGATATGATTGTTCCATCCGCGGCCCCAAGGCTCCCGACCGTTCCCCGGGGGGGGATTCTCGTCCCGGCTCCATTTTTGATGGCCTCCGCCCGATAAAGGACCCCAGAGGCCGAAATCCAGGAAAAAACGCCAGATCGAAAAAAAAATCCTCGGATCTCTAGGTCCTCCTCCTCCTCCTCCTCCTCCTCCGCCTCCTCCACCTCCTCCTCCTCCTCTTCCTCCTCCTCCTCCTCCTCCTCCTCCTCCTCCTCCTCCTCCTCCCTCCCTCCCTCCCTCCCTCCCTCCCGCAGATAGGACACACGCGCCACTTCCCGCCCCCCAGACAGGACACGCCGCCCGACCCGCAGGCCCGACTAGGCTCCGGGGACCTTCTTCGCGGGCTGCGAGGCCGTCCCGAAGAACTTGGCCTCCGCGGCGGCTTCTCTCGCGGGCCATGGTCGGGGATCTTCTGACCCGGGTCAATCCAGACCCGGGTGAGCAAGAAACCAGAAAACTGCAATGCAAGACAGACACACTGCAGCGCAGGTCCTCGCAGACCCGGGTCAGCCAAGATGCCCGGCCGCACTCGCAGCCACGAGCGGCTCGCTAACCCGGGTCGGCCAAGAGGGGGTCTTCGCAGGATCCTCAGGGGAACAAAAAGTGGCAGAAACATAAAAACTCGGAGGTCCGCGCCGCCGAACCCTGGCGTCCCATCTTTTCGAGCCGGGCGTCCGTCTTCGCCTGCTTTCGGGCCCTGGGGCCCTCGCAGATCGAGTCTTTCTGTGTATGCCACTTCTCGTTCTCCTAATCCTGCAGGATCCGGTGTCCTGGCTGACCCCCGTTTGCCTCGGGAGCGGCCAAGAGGGGGGTGTCCAAGAGGGGGGGGTGCAAATCATGACCGGCGGCATGTGCGCGGCCCAGCGGGGGGGCCAGGGACGTAATGAAATAAGAAGAGGCGCCATGAAATCTGAGGAAAAATCATGGCCCGCGCCATGATATCCACCCCCCCCTAGTCATCACCCCCCTCTTTTCCGCCCCCGACTTGACCCCCGTCTCGAGGCTCCCGACATGCCGGGCACGACCCGCCCTGCCGGCTCCCCTCGAGCGCGGGGCCCGCGCGCCGGAGCGAGCACGCGGGGCCTCGGCCGCGCGAGAGGCTGCCGCAGCACGACACCCGGAGGCTGGAGCGGCTGCCTGTGCCCTCCAGGGGCAGGAGAGGGAGGATGAGAAAGGGGGAGGGAGGGAGGGAGGGATGTGGGGGAGGCAGGGAGGGAGCGGGCGAGGGCGCGAAGAGGGGGGAGGAGGAGGGAGGAGGAGGAGGAGGAGGAGGAGGAGGAGGAGGAGGAGGAGGAGGAGGAGGAGGAGGAGGAGGATCAGGAGGATCAGGAGGAGCAGGGGGATCAGGAGGATCAGGAGGGAGCAGGGAGGAGGGAGGAGGGAGGAGGGAGGAAGAAAGAGGAGGATCAGGAGGAGGATCAGGAGGATCAGGGAGATCAGGAGGGAGTCAGGAGGAGAGGGACGGAGGGAGGAGGGAGGAAAAAGGAGGATGGAGGGTGGAGGGAGGAGGAGGAGGAGGAGGAGGAGGAGGAGGAAGGAAGAAGAAGAAGAGGATGAGGAGGAAGAGGGAGGAAGGGAGGGAGGGGGGAGGGAGGGAGGGGGGGACGGAGGGAGGAGGAGAAGGAGGAGGGGGAGGAGGAGGGGGAGGAGGAGGAGGAGGAGGAGGAGGAGGAGGGGGAGTAGGAGGAGGAGGAGGAGGAGGCGGAGGAGGCGGAGGAAGCGGAGCAGGAGTAGGAGGAGGAGGAGGAGGAGGAGGCGGAGGCGGAGGCGGAGGCAGAGGAGGAGGAGGAGGAGGAGAGGGAGGAGGATGAGGAGGAAGAGGATGAAGAGGAGGAGCGGCCGCTGCTAACAGTCGAGCCACTAGGATACACAAGTCGCCACGTTTTGCTGTTCAGGTCAGAACGCGGTTTGTGTTTTCCCTCCCCCCCTCGCCCGCCAGGTATTCCGCGCCTCCACCAGTTAGGATGAGGAGCGGAGGAGCGGTTGCAGAGGATTTGACGAGACATGTTGTCTTTCCACGCGCACGAGTGCTGCACGTGCTCCTCTTTCCCCTGTATGTGTACAGTCTGTATTGAACTGTGTTGGCGATCAGGGCCGCATCGCCAGCATCGGTCCAGGACCGCCCCGCGCTTCTGTGCCGCTGCCGCTGACCTGACCACGGTTGAAAGCTTCAACTGATACTGTGCACTGACTGTCCTTTAACCTCAGGCGCCCGTGCAGAGTGTTCTGCCGGCTGCGCGCCAGTCTCTGCTGACAGGCTATGGGCTTCAACAGCGTCGCAATCCAAAGATCCCTCTCCATCGCCACTCCTCAAGGGATCCCAGCTTCGCTCTTCGCGCTGCGCGAAGCGCGAAGTGCGAATAACTTCGCGCACTCGCGCCGCCTCCCAGGGGAGAAGAGGAGGAGGAGGAGGAGGAGGAGCCGAACCGCGAAGCGCGAATAACTTCGCGCCCTCGAGGGCGCCCTTGCTCGTCCGTCTGCAGCTGTCCGGTTGCGTCGCTCTGTGGGCTTCGCTTCTTCCGAAGCCCCGGAAACAAGAACTGCACACACGTACCCCTGACCGTCGGGGGGGAACGTCCCCGTACTGTATCCGTTGTATTGGACGAAGAACCACCAGCGAACGGAACTACTGCACCAGACCTCTGGTTCGAAAAAGCGACAACGCCGTGATGAGACAGTGGGCCATCGTTTGATCAAGTCGGCTCCCGAGCCGCAACTCGGCCCACGAATCGTTATCTCGGATCCGGGGCTGTGTTGTTCCCACCGTACTCAAGGACCACATCTCCCAGAAATATAACTCCGCGCACCCGGAAAGGTATCGAACAAGTATAGAACGAGTACCGCCTTCCGGGGCCCGACGCGTGAAAACCGCCCAGTTTCGGTACTGTCTTGGTGCTCAAGAGGTGCCCAAGGCCAAAGTAGGTTGGAACATCATAAGTCTGAGACTTCCCCCGAGCTCGGGCCACTAATATTACCAGCCTCGATCTTATCCCTATCCCTGAGATTGACACGCCAAAAGGCGATGACAATCTTAGGGATGCGCCCTCAAAAAATAGGGGAATCCCTAAGATTGGCATCGCGATGAGGAGATGCCCAGCATAGGGATAGGGATGTGTTCCAGGCTGGTAGTAATAAGCGACCCAACCGCGCCCCCAGGCCGCCGGCCTCGGCCCCAAAAAAGAGCATGCGGGACCCGTCCGTCCCGCCCGCTCTCCGCTCTGCCGCCCCCCCTTGCTGATCGGGCGGCCCAGGAATGCACCACCGCTGCGCGTCGGCCCAAGGGCGCCACGCTTCTCTCCAGCTCGCACGCGCGTCCAGAACGATCGGGAAGGAGGAGGAGGAGGAGGAGGAGGAGGACGGCGACGACGAGAACCTGCCTCCGAAGCACAGGTCTCGGTCTGGAGCGAAATGGACCCCGACGCCAGGCGCATACTGCGTAAAACTGCTGCTGCCAGGTGCCCCCCCTGGGGTAGATACTCAGGCATGCGAGAGAGCGCGACTCACTCTTCAACAACTCAACTGCCGTAAAGCGCTGACATTGGAAGCTACACAAGAAAGCATTGGTCCGCCTTCTCCTCAGCCGTCTGGAACCTGCCATGACCCATCTTGGACGAAGTGTCGATGAACTTCAGTGCGATTTCCTCGAGAGCCTTCCTCTTCACCTGCGGCAGTAGCGACTTCCGCAGGGTGATGACGCGCTTGCGGGTGCCCACCACGCCACCCTTCACCTGATGTGGCTACATAAAGCCATGTTTTGGGACATCCAAACCAACACTGCGACAAGAACCTCCCCACTGCCTCCCGTACATGCTTCGGTGGCAACTCATGGAAGCCTCCCATACCATCTTGCCAGCTCGTGCGAATCGACGCTAGTCGACGCTAAATCGATGCTAATCAACGCTAACCGATGCCAAATCGGCGCAATATCATCCACTCCAAGACGCTAATCGACGCTCAAAACTCCGTAGACAGAATTTCGAGGGTACACGCGACTCCCATGATTTGCTTCCGAACAACATGAAACTCCCCACTGCCGCCCGTACATGCGGAATCGCGCGAGGCGATTCCGCTGACCCCACAATCAGCCAGACAGCAGACCTCCCGCGACACCGTCCTGCTCCTGTCAGGGGCGAGTAAGTCGGGAGCGGCCAAGAGGGGGTGTCCAAGAGGGGGGGGTGCAAATCATGACCAGCGGCATGTGCGCGGCCCAGCGGGGGGGCCAGAGACGTAATGAAATGAGAAGAGGCGCAATGAAATCTGGAAAATATCATGGCTCCCGCCATGACAGTCCCCCCCCCTAGTCATCACCCCCCTCTTTGCCGCCCCCGACCTGAGCTCTACGGCACAGCAGGCCGGACTGCCCCCAAAGCTGCCGAGGCCACCACCAGACCCCATACAGCACTCCTCCGCCCTGCAAGAGCTCTGCCGAGCTTCTCGAACATCTCAGAGCTCCTCCTCGCCCGCTACCCTGGGCTGTATTCCCGCCTGGCTAACTCTGGGCTCTCAGCCAACGACGTCCGAGGCACAGCTCGAGGCAGCAGGAGTCAACAGCGCCTAGTCAGCAACGCTTCCCATGCTGGTCACCATGACCCAATCCTCGTTCACCTCGCCGTAGTGGGAGAAGCCGCCCAGCGGGGTGATGCCCTTCTCTGTAAGGTCGTTCTCGGTCGTTGCGCTGTTGGGATCCTTGGACTTGGCCGATTGAACATGCGTTCGCTGTGTGTGTGTTTGGCTGCCTGAATGTCTGTTGTCATCACTGCCTCTGTATCAGTCGGTCTGACATTGCGTCTGCCAGTCTGAGTCTGCTTGCCGCTCTTTGCCCATTTCTGTCGCTAACTGTTTGTCCGTGCGTGACTGATAGATATGACTAGATAGAGAGATACGTAGATGTATACACATGTTCGTATACTTGTTTGTATGTGTGGATGTAAAATGTGTACGAATGTGTGTGTATGTATGTGAACATGCATGTACGTGTCTAAGTAAGTGTGCATGTATGTGTACAGTCATATATGCATGTATGTATGTATGTGTATGTGTGTATGTGTGTATGTATGTATGTATGTATGTATGTATGTATGTACGTATGTATGTTTGTATGTTTGTATGTTTGTATGTATGTATGTGTGTATGCATGTATGTATGTATGTATGTATGTATGTATGTATGTATGTATGTTTGGATGTGTGTGGATGTATGTGTGTATGGGTGTATGTATGCATGTACGTATGTATGTATGTATGTATGTATGTATGTGTGTATGCGTGTATGTGTGTATGTATGTGTGTAGGTATGTATGATTGTATGATTGTATGTATGTAGGTATGTATGTGTGTATGTATGTGTGTATGTATGTATGGATGTATGTTTGTATGTATGTATGTATATGTATAGGCATACGTATGTGTGTACGCATGTGGTTGTGAGTATATGTGCATGTGTGTGTGCGTGTACGTATGTATGAACGTAGTTCAATATATGTATATATATATATATGTATACATAAATATACATATATATATATATATATATATATATATATTAGTTATGTGCGTGAGTGCGTGTATGTATGTATGCATGCATGTATGTATGTAGGTGTATGTATGCATGTATGTATGCACGGATGTACATATGTGGGGTAAAGTGTATGTACGCATGTAAATACGAGCGTGTGCACGTACGTGCGTACGAAAGCACGCATGTATGTATTATGCATGTATGTATGCATAAGTAAATGTATGTATGTGTGCAGGTATTTACGTCTGTATGTACATATGCATGTAAATATGTATGCATGTACGTGTAAATGTTTATGTCTGTGTATGTATACATGTCTGAATGTATATAAGTGTACGTTTACATATACTTATGCATGTGTCATCACACACATTTCCGCCACTGTACCTGGAGGACTCAATGGAGTGGCCAAAAGCTCATGCAGCCTTGACAGGTTACGGGTGATAGATGTGCCCAATGTCCAATGTCCCTTTTGGTGGCTTATCAGCCAACCTCTCCTTGCGTCAACGGCCAGGGTCCGAGCAGGGCCCCCCTGCGGAGCCGAAATATCTGATCCTCACACACACTGTAGCCAAATTCGCACTCGTTCCCAACTCATCATTTTTGCCTTGTCCAGAGTCCTCCTTGACACTCTTGCCGATGCGGTAGATCTTCTTGTTGATCTCGGTGCGGTGGCCGTAGCCCTTCTGACCAGAGCGGGGCACCTGCGATCACGAATTCGGATGCTGGAGCCGACCACGAGGCTGGTGCGAAGGAGCAGACGCCCCACAGAATCGCCTTCTGGAGCAACGCCCTCTGAAATACAGGAGACCCCTAACAATCGGGGGCGGCCAAGAGGGGGGTGTCCAAGAGGGGGGGGTGCAAATCATGGCCCGCGGCATGTGCGCGGCCCGAAGGGGGGGGGCCAGGGACGTAATGAAATAAGGAGAGGCGCCATGCAATCTGAAGAAAAGTCATGGCCCACGCCACGAAATCCACCCCCCCCCTAGTCATCACCCCCCTCGTTGCCGCCCCCTTAACAAGGAGAGCGCCCTGGACGGCAAGCCACGCGCTCAGGGGCCCCATGGTCCGCGGCGCTCCGCCGAACGACCCTCGGCAGCCCGGCCCAGGATGCGAGGCGGGAAATCTGAGCGCCCACAACCTCCTCCTACGGCTCCCTATGGCTCGAAGGATTGAGGGCAGGTCCTCTTCAGCAGGGAGCTCCCGCCCGAACTGCGGCCTCTTCAGCAGAGGGCGCTCGTGTGCCGAGGAGGGGCGCTTCGCGCACAGTCCACAGGAATGCTTCTGGGGACTGAAAGCTGGACCTAGGACAGAAGAGCACCCTGTCAGAAAATCTATCCTCCTCCTCCTCCTCCTCCTCCTCCTCCTCCTCCTCCTCCTCCTCCTCCTCCTCCTCCTCCTCCTCCTCCTACTCCTCCTCTTCCTCCTCCTCCTCCTCCTCCTGCGGCCCACTCGTTTTCGCTTCACCCCGGAAAAAAGACCGGGATGGAAAGCCGCAGGGGGAAAAGAGACACCGGGAGAGAGGCGCCGGGAGACTCAGGGGAAGACCAGCAAGGGCCGAGAGCAGGCATGCGACAAGAATGGCGGTGAAAATTGACTGGTCCAACTGGGGGCGCATGGTGCGCATGGTGATCAGACTCCCTGTTGGACTGCAGTCTTGCTGGTGATGTTTGTCGCCTCTGTTTTTTGTTCGTCCTGCCCTGTTTCCTATAAATCCGCCGACCCTGTCGGCGTGTAACCGGGGGTTGTTCCGTCGCCATCGCCGTCGCTGCCGCCGCCGCGTCGTCGCCGCCATCACGTCCCCTCCTTCCCCTGAATCCGTCGCCGTTCCCACCTTCCTTGGGCCCTCGTCCCAAAGCGAAATGCACCAGCCCATCCGCAGCAAAACTAAGCAACGTTCTCAATTGCGTCGAAGGGAAACCCCTTCCCTTTGATCCTTTCCCCGCGAAAGGGGGGGGGTCCGGGGAGGTCCCGAGTCAGAATACCAGCCTCCCGGGGCCCATGGCCCGCCCTCTCCCTCCCGAGGTCTCCAGGGTCGGTGGCGCCGGCCGCAAGGCCTTAGCAATATGTTTTATATCCTGTATTACTTCTTACAACGTGAGAGGGCCCGCGGCGTCAATGGGACCACCCAAGGGGCGCTGTTCATTGCAAGTTCTGCGTTAAGCCAACCTCCTCTCCATCCGCTCCGTCACCCTTTACGAACACGCTGTGCCGGGCGCACCACCCGACGTGTCGTTACGAGGTGGCCGGCCTCTGGCCTGAGATTCTCTCACCGTTTACAATATTGAATGTTAGCCAGCGTGGGCCTCAAACAACAAGTTGTTGCAGTCTACGCGGTGCCATTTATGTGGTGCAACTCACTTTGACCGTCTTGAAGCTGTCCTCTCCACTGCTCGTGCAAACATCCCACCCTCCCACCCACAACTTGGTCGCAAGACCTCTTAAGACAAGACCGTGACGGTAGGTACCAAATGGCACTTGGCCACGACACCGACGCCGACGACGACAGCGACAACGACGACGACGACGGCACCGCCGACACCGACGACGACGACACCGACGACGTCTCCAACGACTTCGACGACGACAGCGACCACGACGACGACGACACCGACGACGACGACGACGCCGACGACGACGACGATGACAACGACGACGACGACGCCGACGACGACGACGCCGACAACGACGACGACGACAGCGACAACGACGACGACACCGCCGACACCGACGACGACGACACCGACGACGTCTCCAACGACTTCGACGACGACAGCGACCACGACGACGACGACACCGACGACGACGACGACGCCGACGACGACGACGATGACAACGACGACGACGACGCCGACGACGACGACGCCGACAACGACGACGACGACGACAACGACGACGACGACGACAACGACGTCGCCAACGAAGACGACGACGAGGGAGGAGGGAGGACGACGACGGCGACAACGACGACAACGACGACAACAACGACAACGACGAGGGAGAAAGGAGGACGGCGACGACGCGAACGACGAAGAAGGAGGAAGGACGGCGACGCCGACGACGACAAAGACGAGGGAGGAGGGAGGAGGGCGACGACGCAAGAGCGCGCGCGCACGCTTTTGTTGAAAATCCGTGTTGCGAAACCTTGGGTTTTGGTAGGTTTTTCGGACACACGATTTTTAAATCCTTCCGAAACGGATGGGTTTTGAAGGATTTCGGCGCACGCGCGCGACGACACGCGCGTCTGCACTTCGTCCCATTTGTTGCACAGGATTCTCGCGACGGCACACGCGCAAGGGCGTTCGACAGATTTCGACATGCGCGCGCGCAGCCCGTTTAATAGCACGTTGTGATAATCTTGAAAAACCTATGGCTTGTTTTCTCCAGATTTCGCAAGAGATCGCGCGGAAGCTTTTTTCGTAAATCAGTGTTGCGACACCCTGTGTTTGTGCATGTTTCTTTGGAGACTCGATTGCGACATCCTTCCGGCACATAAGGTTTTTGAAGGATTCCGGCATGCGCGCGCGACGACGCGCGCGCGCGCACTTCGTCCCATTTTTTGCAAGGGATTCGTGAAAAATATTTGGACTCAACGCCCGCACTGCCTGAAGTGCAACGAGCTGCGAGGCAGGCGGCACAGCTCGCTTCAGCAGGGCGACCTGCTGTGCAAATCTCCACCAGAATTAGGCAGAGAAAGAAAAAGGCACCTGCAGGCCATCCTGCAGTTGTAAAAGAAGCTCGGCCCACCCGCCCACCACTGTGCACGTGAGCAGGCGGCTGTCGCAGCCAGCGTGCTGCCTCCGCCTCGAAGCGTTTGGGTCCAGGAGTTCGAGGCAGCCTAGCCACAGCAACACCACAGTCCGAGCCACTGTCAGGGCGGGCCAAAACCCGCCCCCGCGCACGGAGAAAAAGAATGTCCACACACGAGTGTGCCACGCGCCTTCCCCCGAAGCGGCGCGCCTGACACGCGCGCCGAACGAGGCGAGCGCACGCACGGGCCGAACGAACACAGCGCGCCAATGCCGAGGCTGAACAAGCGGAGGACAAATCCGCCGGCCCCCTTGTGGGGCCACCAGGCTGTAGGCCCGTGATTCGCAGTTTCCCGCGCCAGTCGTAGGTTGTAGTTTCCAGCGTTACAGTTCTGATTATTGCTGGTTACTGTCACTAGTTGACTTGTTGCTGGTTACTGCAACTAGTTGATTGACCGCGCGATGGGGGGGGGGGGAAGCCCAAAGTGGCTTTTTTGCGCCCCCTGGGCGCGTTGTCTGAATTGCTGGGGGGGCTCGAAATCGACACCCCTCACGCAGATCCGCGGGGTCAGGGTCCGAAAAACACAGAGGGATTTGCCACATTTCTGAAATTCGGCGCCACCCCTTACGCAGATCCGCGGGGCCAGGGTCCAAACACACAAAGGATTTGCAACATTTCTAAAATTCGGCGCCACCCGTCACGCAGATCCGCGGGGTCAGGGTCAAAAAAAACAAATGGATTTGCCACGTGTCTGAAAATCGGTGCCACCCCTCACGCAGATCCGCGGGGTCAGGGCCCAAAAACACAAAAGGGATTTGCCACATTTTTCAAAAATCGGCGCCACCCCTCACGCAGATCCGCGGGGTCAGGGTCCAAAAACACAAGGGATTTGCCACATGTCTGAAATTCGCTGCCACCCCTCACGCAGATCCGCGGGGCCAGGGTCCAAAAACACATGCGATTTGCCACATTTCTGAAATTCGGTGCCACCCCTCACGCAGATCCGCGGGGCAGGGGTCAAAAAACACATGGGATTTGCCACATTTCTGACATTCGGCGCCACCCCTCGCGCAGATCCGCAGGGCCAGGGTCCAAAAACAACGGATTTCCCACATGTCTGAAATTCGGCGCCACCTCTTACGCAGATCCGCGGGGCCAGGGTCCAAAAACACATGGGATTTGCCACATGTCTGAAATTCGGCGCCACCCTTCACGCACATCCATCGCAAGGCGTGGCAACCCAAACTGCGAGAACTCCCTCGGCCCTTTAATCGCAAGGTGTGGTAACCAAGCCCGTAAACCACACACGTCTTACCAATCGCCAGGTGTGGTAACCCCTCTTGTGATTAGCTGGTGTTGCTGATTGCGAATCGGCTTCGCATGAAGTTCCGATACTGCTTCACGACAGCGCCAAGGCCTCATGACTTAGCTCTTCCATGGCCCATTCTCCGAGAGAGGGGGCCGGCGGCAGGGGGCGAATCAGCCGCCCACACAAGGACGACGAGGCCAACAATCCCTGGTGCAGAGAGCGCCAGGACGACCACAGGCCTCGCCCCAGATATAGGGTATGCATACAGAAGCCTCCTGCACAGGAGACAACGCAATGGCCTGGGGCCAGTGGAGCATACAGACACAGAGAGGAAGAAAATTCGACCGCCCACACAAGGACGACGAGGCCAGCCTCCCCAGGTGCAGGGAGCGCCAGGACGAAGGCGAGCCTCGCCCCAGATGTGGGGCATGAGCACTGAAACAGTCGGACTTACGTACTCTGATGCACTGGGCAAGTGCTAGGACGCGGGGGGCGGTCGTCGCTCCCCCCCCAGCTTGAACTTAACTGCCACGGGCAAGACCATTACGCAACAGAACAGGCCACAAAACATCAAATACAAACTTGAAGCTTATTCATAGGCGACGCCAGGACGACAGCCAGGAAACCCCAGGTGCACCTAACCCTTAGGGCGGACGCCTGGACGGCCCCTGGGCTGCCCCAGGTGTGGGCCCAACTCGCACCCTGAGCCAGTGCCCCCATGGCGGGCCCTCCAGATGCGGCCAAAGACCAACTGGCCAGAGCGATCAAGGACCCGCCGCCTTCGGCTCCAACGAAAGGGACACAGGCTAGCAGGGCTGCGAGCTACAGGGGAGGCCGCGGAAGGGTCGACATCGTCCACAGTCTGCTAGAACGAGAATAGAGGTGGTGGAAGCCCTTACACAAGGCTGCCCATCCTTGGCGCCCAGCCCTCGTGGGCTTCCTGCATACATCTCCTAGGCCTCGGACCTTTTCCCCCGAGGAGTAGCACTTACATTTAAGGCAGATGAATAGAGTAGACTTGTCAGAACAGTCGAACGCCACCGTTCTGTGTCCTAGGGCATCCTGGCGAGCGGCATGCAACCTGGAATCTGGGGGGGCATCTTCCTGGGGGAGGGCGAGACAAGCCCCTGCGCCCACGGAGGCACACGGCGCACCTCCAGACACCAGCCCAGCATTCCCAACGGCGCCCTACTCTGCAGGGCCTGCCAGGGCGCTCAGGGAGGGATGGGGGGGGGGGGGCAGAGAACATCGAGGGAGAGCTTGGGCCACAGAGGGGGCAAATTGGCCGCGAGGATGCAACAGCCCCTGGCGGCTTCAATTAGCTCATCTACCTTGGCCAGTTCAAACGAGTCCGACGGGCGCAGCTGCAGCGCATGCTCGGCGCTCGCATCCGCATCAGCATTTCCCCTCCTAAGAAATGTTGATCTATATGTGATGCCTTCTTCGTTGACATCCAGATGAGCGTTAACTTCTGGCAGCGGCAACGTACTGTGAGAAACTACATTAGCACAGTCAGAACAAATGATAGAGGGCAACGCAAGAAACTGTCCGTCGACACAACGCGCAACATACTCAGAGGCCTGCGGGGTCTGCGGAAGGTGGGCCCATACAGGGCCCCTGGCCTCCCCAAGGCAAGTACCGTCCTCCGCACGCATACAAACCGCATAAGCAGCCCTGGACAGTTCTTTGATCGGGTGGCGCTGGCTGGACCCATCAATGAAGACATGACCCCACGTTTGCCCGTTCTCAGGAACCCTGGGGCCTTCTGGGCTGGGGAGCTCCTTGCTATGCCACACGTAGAGCAAAGCATTCGTACCCCCCACGGCAGGACGCGGAAAAACATCGGCGGGGTGAGCGAAAGCTCCTCTCGCATAGAGCGCGCGAACGTGAGGGTCAGGTTCCGCCTGAGCCGCCCAAACATCAATCGCATCAGTGACGACTGAGGGCGGGGCCAACTGGGCCCTCAACTCCTGCACCGCCGTCGCCGTGCATTGCCAGAGCCTGTGGAAAAAAAAGAAACAGGAGGAAGAAGAAGAAGAAAAAAAAAAAAAAAAAAAACAAAAAAAAACAAGAAGAAAAAAAAAAAAAAAAAAAAAAAAAAAAAAAAAAAAAAAAAAAAAAAAAAAAAAAAAAAAAAAAAAAAAAAAAAAAAAAAAAAAACGGGCGCGGCAGAGCAGCGAGGGCAAACCGATCCAACTTGATAACCGCACTCTAGGGCCTTGTCCGCAGACCAGATAGCATCGCACGAACAGGCCCGAATCCAGCCCCGCTGGGCTGGGGTAAAACTTCTTACTAATGCAGGCAGCTTTGGGGATGCCCAGGCACGCTCTACACTCAAGGTCCCATTTTTCCCCGAGGTCCCGTTCGAGCCCCCGAAAGTACGCTTCCTTGCACAGAGTCTCCAAAAGCTTAGGGGGGATCAAACCGAGCTGCAAACGATAACCACGGTCGCCCGAAATACTGACATAGTCCTCCATGACCCAGCCCAACCTAAGCAGGGTGAGACGGAGGGCAGAGACAGGGCCTTCGACAGTCGGCCATGTGATTCTTGGAAGAGAAAAGACGCTCCTAAAGCCATCTCGAAGCTCTGTGTGGGGGATGGACCAGGGGTACCCATGCGTTTGCGCCAACCACACCTCCCTGCTCCATCTCAACACAGGGGCACAGGCAGCTCGCCAGCACGGGTCATCCGACAGAATGCTGCCAGCCGTGAGAGACCTGCTCTTGGCAAAGGGCCCGACGCTCGAAAAAGCTCGCCGCCTCATCGTCTGGAGGACCTGGTCGCTAACACCCAAAATGTCCGCCCCATAGGCCCCTCCAGGGAGGGGGCCCGAAGCGAACACCCTGAAGGCTTTTCGACCGAGGTTGCCTGCCTGGCGCTTGATGCGCCTAGCCTTCCTGCAGAGGAGAGCCAACCTGCTCTTGAGCTTAGAACAGCGCCCCGAAGCTCTGACTGAAGCCCCAGCACAATAGTCAACGCCGAGGTTGACCGTCGAGTCAGTGATCTTTCCTCCTAGCTGGCCTAGGGCATCCGACAAAGCTCTGGCAAGACCCTTGGACGAAGCAACAGTGCAAACCTTGTCTAAAGCGAGTTGGCAGTTCATCTCTCCCTCATCAGTAATAGCATGATGGAGGGCCGAGGAAACAGCAACAATGGGGGAGACAACATGTTTGCGGGTACCAGTGCAAGAAATGCCCGTGTCATCAATGTAAATGTCAAATTCCTGGGAGGGGTAAGAGGGGGGCCTATCCAAGGAAGACATACTGTAAATGCGAATGAGCGTAGTGGCCATGCTGCATCCCGCAATCACCCCTTTCTGAACAAAAAATCCATCAAGCAGACCAGCAAGAGAAACGAAACGTCCGCACCTGTACGCATAGAGCGAGAGACGGGTCAGCACTAAAGGAAACTGGTGCAGTTGGCAACGCTGCTCAAGAACATCCAGATCAATCGTTTCGTAATTTGAGGGAGTTTCTGTGGAACTCACGTCATCCTCACCCCCGGCGCGAAGAGCACGAGCCCAGAGCGGCCTCCGGCACCGTTTCCGGACGGATCCGCTAGATCCGCTGGATCCGCTGGATCCGGTGACGAATCCCAAACCGGCGCCCTCGCCTGAGACATCCTCACAAAACGGGCCCCGGGGGGGATGCCCAGAGGAGCCCAGAGCGGCCTCCTGGCACCGTTTCCGGACGGATCCGCTGGATCCGCTGGATCCGGTGACGAATCCCAAACCGGCGCCCTCGCCTGAGACATCCTCACAAAACGGGCCCCGGGGGGGATGCCCAGAGGAGCCCAGAGCGGCCTCCGGCACCGTTTCCGGACGGATCCGCTGGATCCGCTGGATCCGGTGACGAATCCCAAACCGGCGCCCTCGCCTGAGACATCCTCACAAAACGGGCCCCGGGGGGGATGCCCAGAGGAGCCCAGAGCGGCCTCCGGCACCGTTTCCGGACGGATCCGCTGGATCCGCTGGATCCGGTGACGAATCCCAAACCGGCGCCCTCGCCTGAGACATCCTCACAAAACGGGCCCCGGGGGGGATGCCCAGAGGAGCCCAGAGCGGCCTCCGGCACCGTTTCCGGACGGATCCGCTGGATCCGCTGGATCCGGTGACGAATCCCAAACCGGCGCCCTCGCCTGAGACATCCTCACAAAACGGGCCCCGGGGGGGATGCCCAGAGGAGCCCAGAGCGGCCTCCGGCACCGTTTCCGGACGGATCCGCTGGATCCGCTGGATCCGGTGACGAATCCCAAACCGGCGCCCTCGCCTGAGACATCCTCACAAAACGGGCCCCGGGGGGGATGCCCAGAGGAGCCCAGAGCGGCCTCCGGCACCGTTTCCGGACGGATCCGCTGGATCCGCTGGATCCGGTGACGAATCCCAAACCGGCGCCCTCGCCTGAGACATCCTCACAAAACGGGCCCCGGGGGGGATGCCCAGAGGAGCCCAGAGCGGCCTCCGGCACCGTTTCCGGACGGATCCGCTGGATCCGCTGGATCCGCTGGATCCGGTGACGAATCCCAAACCGGCGCCCTCGCCTGAGACATCCTCACAAAACGGGCCCCGGGGGGGATGCCCAGAGGAGCCCAGAGCGGCCTCCGGCACCGTTTCCGGACGGATCCGCTGGATCCGCTGGATCCGGTGACGAATCCCAAACCGGCGCCCTCGCCTGAGACATCCTCACAAAACGAGCCCCGGGGGGGATGCCCAGAGGAGCCCAGAGCGGCCTCCGGCACCGTTTCCGGACGGATCCGCTGGATCCGCTGGATCCGCTGGATCCGGTGACGAATCCCAAACCGGCGCCCTCGCCTGAGACATCCTCACAAAACGGGCCCCGGGGGGGATGCCCAGAGGAGCCCAGAGCGGCCTCCGGCACCGTTTCCGGACGGACGACCTGACTGCATAACACGCCTGGATATGCCGACGGGGGCGAGGAGGAGGAGGAGGAGGAGGAGGAGGAGGAGGAGGAGGAGGAGGAGGAGGAGGAGGGGGAGGGGGCAGGCGAGGGAGCCCCGGCCCTGGGGGAGGGGCCCTGAGGGAGCCCTGATGGGCTTCCGGCACCCTGTGGGGCGGCCGCCCCTTCTTCTCTCGGTCGTTTCCCTCTCGCCCAGAAGCGCGCGCCCCTTCTTCTATATATACAGAAACTCCCGATCAACCGCAGAGCGGCGGATGTTATTTGAGCATGCCATAAAACACGCTAGCACTCTCTTCACCCTCTGAGGCACCCGTTTCAGCACGGAACGCCTGACGCCACACCACATCCGCAGCTCCACGAAACGCCCCAGCAGCCCAGTACCGACGGGGGTGTTGCTGTTCCCAGTATAGGGCCTGGGGGCGCCGAAGTCGCCCCCAGACCCTATACCAGGAGCAGAACACCCCTACCGGCCTGCAACCACCGTTGGGCTTCGAGAGCAAAGCAAGCAGCACGGCAGAGATGTGACTGGGAAGCTGACCAACCGACTCCATCAGCTGAAACAGCATGTCAAGCGCTATCAATCCATCGTCACACAAGAAGTGGAAATGACGACAGTCGAAACCATCGTAGGTGACCGCCGAAGTTCTCTTGTACTTCTTGCTGACTGACCTAAGCTGGGCAGGGTCAGCGCGGGGTAGCGCTTCAACTAACGTACAGCTGGAGGGGTTGCTCAAACCTTCCTTCCAAAAACTAGCAAACTTGGAACCTTCGCTGGCAAGGAGCGAGAGGGGGTCGGCAACGACCGATCCATCTCGAGCAAGAGTCGCGGTAGGGACCCAGGGGTGGGGTCTCGGGCGACGGCGTGGACCCTGCGAGCTCCCTGATATACGCCCTCGGCGAGCCAGGCTCTCCAGCCCGCCTGGGCTCGAGACCTGAACTGTCCATTGGCCCCCTCAAGGACCACAACCAGGGTGTCGAGAAGCTCTTCACCACCTATGATTGCGTCGAGGGGGGCCTGGCGGGAATCTCCTTTCAGCGTGAGCAAGTATTCTCTGACACGACTAAAATGAGAAGCATACTTGTCCAAATGGTTGGCAATGATGAGGAGGGGGACTGACAAGCAAAGCACGCAAGCTGGCGGCCTGGTCTCCACAACCTTGGTTGGCCCGCTGCAGCCCCAAGAACGCTCTAAACTGAGCCACCAGCCACTGGATGGCGCGATGCTCAGGATACCTAGGTTGCATGCCCCGCCCAACTAAGCTCTCCCAGACTAGCTGAGGCCCCTTACTCCTGCTCCCCATCTTCACCAGGTCGGCACCCAGCACATGGACCAACTCCTCCTCCGCCTTATCTGCCCACGCTCCGTAGGCAGGGGAAAGATGACTGAGGGCAGAAACATCATCACCAGCGGCGACCGCATCAAAGCCAGCCTGAGCGCGCGAAATGACTTGGCCCCAGCATGGCGGAGGCAGCGTCGGCCTTCTGACTCGACCCCGAGGCAGTGGGGGGGGCTTCCTGGAGCTGAGAGCCTTGAGAACAGCGGGGGGCTTGTGGGGGGGGGAAAAAAAAAAAAAAAAAAAAAAAAAAAAAAAAAAAAAAAAAAAAAAAAAAAAAAAAAAAAAAAAAGTCCACGGGCCGATAGAGGCTGAGCTCCGTCTCCAGATCGCTCCTGCACGACGCAACCGCTTTCCCCCATCCACCACTGCAAACAAAATAATCCAGAGTCGAGGGGGATCCTGATCCGAAATGCGCGTGGCCTTCAGGGTCGATGAGCAGGCCTTGAAGCTGACCGAGAAACTTACTGCTGACAAGCTCTCCTGGAGAGACGTCAATATCTCCGCCGACGCCAATGCTAGCGCAGCAGACGGAGGCACATGCCCCAACTCGACTTAACAACTCCACGTTTCGCTCGGACAGACGTTCAGCGACATGCAAGTAAACCGAAAACATGTGATAACTGAAGCCCCCTGGGACTCGGATAACCCCTTGAGTAACAGCGTGACCAGAGGAGGGGGGTAAAGACCAAGCCGGGGCCACAACGATTTCCAACCGTCGCGAGCACACCACGAGGAGGCAACATCGATTTCTTCCTGGGCGGCGAGTCTGCGTTCCTGCACCAGCAGGATCGTAGAAGGCGCGCGAGGAAGCATTCTCTCCAGGGTGCCCCAACTGTTGCAATCGAGGGCACGAACAAACAGGACGACAGAGCTCAGCCATCCGACTCCAGGGACCCAGGAGGGGGAAGGGAGGCGCAAGGGAGAGGAGCCTGGGAGATCCTGGGACCAGGCACCACCTCGATCGGGACCTGAGAGCCTGGGGCAGCCAACACAGGGTAAGCTGGACCAGGCCTCGCAAAATTGGCAGGCTTAGATAGAGTCACCTGCGTAGAGCCGAACCTTCCGCAACCACCTGACAAAATCCGACGAGACCTCCACAGCGCATGGCACACAGCAGCCTTCAGGCCTCTACAGCCAGAGGCGCGAACGCCACTATTCGAGCGGAAGGAACGACGGAGGCGAGGCCGACAGGCCGAGAGGGTAACGTTAGATTTGAAAGAATCACGCGGCAACTGGCCCCCCCGCTGCCCCTCGGCGGCGGGGGGGGGGGCCTGTGACAAAAGGCGCTCAGCACGGGCTCGCGCATCTTCGCGGTCTGGTGACGCAGCTGCAGCCGCGCTCTCACCAGGGCCGTCTGACGATGAAGCTGAGGCAGCCACTCCTGGGCCTGCTGGGACACCATCAGCACCCGCAGCTGGCACACCTCCGACAGCGCCTGCAGCTGCCTCTTCGCCATCTCCGTCCTGGCGCCTCCTCTTGGATGAAAGACGCTCCAGCATCTTCTGCTGCTCGGCCTGGAACGCCTGGGTCCTCTCCAACGCATCTCCAAACAACTTTCGGACTGCATCTTGCAACGACTGCTTGAGCTCCTGGGCGCGACCGTTGGCCTCCTCCAGGTCCTTCCCTGCGATCTCGAAATCGTCCTGGGGGGGCCAACAGTGAGTCAATCGAGATAGGAATCTCTTCCGCCTTGCCCTGAATGATGGCCGCAATATGAAGGCTCGCCGCTGGCGGGGGGGGCGACACAGGTGGCGGCGCCACCTCCTCGTGCAGCTGCTGCACGAGCCTGGTCTGTGCCTCCCCCGCCAGCTTGAGCTCCTCCGAGAGCGTCTTGATGCGGCCTCGCTGCAACGACAGTACCTCCTCCATCTTCTCATACACGTTGCACGCCTTGTCGGTCCGCTCCCGCAGCTGGCGCAGTTAGTGGAAAACCTCGTTGACCTTGGCCTGCAACGGAACAGCGAGGCTGACGCCATGCGCTTATTATGATCAAGTGCGAGCTGATGCCGACGAGCGCCCGCCTTGTCCACATTTAGACAATAGATCCACCAACTTCTCCAACTCATTAATGGAAGTGCCCGCACGGTCCACGTGGGGGGATGACCACACTCCACCATTGCCTGAACCTCCAGCAGCACCTGCTCCGCCGTAGCACTGGGCGATCTGGGGGCCAGCACGCAGGGGCAGGGCGGGCCAGTCGCGGTCGCCGCCCGCGTACCAGCTGCCGCCCCACGACGGGGTGCACCTGCCAGAGCCAAAGGAAGAGTGACGGGCAACTTTGCAATGCTTGCAGAACCACCAAGACACCTTGTTGCGCCTGCATCCACAACTGCCGCAAGTCCACAACTTGCCATTGGCTGAAAGAGAGGCCCAGGCAGAACCTTCTTCGCCACCAGAGTGTCCTTCACCAGGGAACTTCAGGGGGGGAACCCGGCTGGCCTGGGACATTGCGATTTCAGATTTAGCATGGGCATGTGGTCAGCATCATAAATGATTTACATACCCGAAAGGGGTAGCGATAACGCTGGGGGGGCGGGGTGGGGGGGGGTAGAGTCTGTTCTCTTTTCAGAAAGGAGAATGTATGGGCTGCCAACCTACATAATGCAATATATGCAGTGCAATATGCGCGGTGCAATCTATGTGGTACAATTGCTTTTTACCGATGATTTGACACAACCCACCTTCTTGCAAACATCCCTCCCACGAACCCGCAACTTGGTTCGCAAAACCTCTTAAGACCGACTACGACGACACCGACGACAACGACTACGACGACACCGACGACGCCTCCGACGACTTCGACGACGACGACGACGACGACGACGACGACGACGGCGGCGACGACGACGACGCCGACGTCGACGACGACGTCGACGACGACGCCGCCGACGCCGACGACGACGACGACGAAGACGACGACGAGGGAGGAGGGAGGACGACGACGGCGACAACGACGACAACGACGACAACGACGAGGGAGGAGGGAGGACGGCGACGACGCGAACGACGAAAAAGGAGGGAGGACGGCGACGCCGACGACGACAACGACGAGGGAGGAGGGAAGACGACGGCGACGACGACAACGACGACGACGACGACAACAACGGCGACGAAATACGAGGGACGACGACAAGACGCCGACGACGGACGACGACGACGACGACGACAAGGGAGGAGGAGGAAGGACGACCACGGCGACAACGACGACGGAAACAACCACGACGCCAAAGAAAACGACGACGACGACAACGAGCACGAGGAAAGACAGAGGACGACGTAGGCGACGACGACGACGACGAGGAAGAAGGGAGGACGGCGACGACGACGACGACGACGACGCAAGAGCGCGCGCGCACGCTTTTGTTGAAAACCCGTGTTGCGAAACCTTGTGTTTTTGTAGGTTGTTTGGAAGCACGATGCTGAAATCCTTCCGAAACCGATGGTTTCTGAAGGATTCCGGCATACGCGCGCGACGACGCGCGCGTCTGCACTTCGTCCCATTTTTCGCACAGGATTCTCGCGACGGCACACGCGCAAGGGCGTTCAACAGATTTCGACATGCGCGCGCGAAGCCCGCTTGGTAGCATTTTGTGAAAATCTTGAAAAACCGATGGTTTTCTTAAGATTTCGCAAGAGCTCGCGTGTAAGCTTTTTTAGCAAATCCACGTTGCGAAACCATGTGATTTTGCATGTGTTTTGGAAACTCGACTGCGAAATCCTTCCGGCATCGAAGGTTTTTCCAAGATTTCGGCATGCGCGCGCGACGACGCGCGCGCGCATTTCGTCCCATTTGTTGCAAGGGCTCCGTGAACAAATGCCACGCTAGAACAAAAGATGTCCCCGCGTATCGTTTTTCATTAGGGAACCTCACGGGGAGCGAAACCGGTTCCCCGGGAATAATATACATTCAAATTTAGGATGGACACGTGGTAAGAATCATATGATTTACATACCTGAAAGGGGGGCGGCGAACGCCGAAGGGGGGGGTAGAGTCCACGCAGCTGAACTTGAAGTCGTCATCTCCACTGCTCGCGCAAACTTCCCACCCTCCCACCCACAACTTGTTTGGCAAAGCTCGTGATGCGGGGGGCGGCGGCGCCGCCGATGACGACATCGATGATAACACCCACACTGCCGATGCTCGTCGCCATGAGTCGATGACGAAGATGAGCATATCGACGATACTCGGCCGGGCGCAATGACAAGATGACGTCGGCAACGTCTGCGACAATGACGAACATGGCACCAGCGACGACGATGTTGAAGCGGGCGACGGCACGAACGATAACGGCGCCAATGATGGCAAACTCGCTGGCGATGCTGATGCCCATCTGTCGATCAGGCAGGTGGACGCGGCGACGCTGAAAAGGTTGAGAAGGAAATCGCGCGTGCGGAAGTTCAACAAATTCGTCGGACTGATCATGCGCGCGCGGCGGTGCGCGCATGTGGCCCACGTGGTGTCTGTTGCAAGGGAATCGTGCCCTCGGCGCACGACAGGAGCATCGCGGGCGCACCGCGCGGTGACATGAGATCGCTGGATTTGGCAGAATTGAGAAGATGTGTGATTTTAGCACGAGCGCGCGAACAGGAAATATACAGAATGTGTTGCGAGACCTTTGGGTGCTTTAGTTGTGTATGCTGAAATGATTGCGAACACATTGTATTTGGAACCATTTTGACATGGGCGCGCGCGTGATGTCTTCGTGCAATTATTTGCAAAAGGATTACTGAAATTTGCTTTCTTAAGATGAGGAGGTGCGCTAGCATAGGACGATTTGACAGGAATGGCGGGGGGGGCGATACAGGTCCGGCTGGGATTGCGCGAATTCAAAATTAGGACGGACGGGTGTTCATAATAAACATGAAATTGCAATACCCCAGGGGGGGCGTCAACTCCTGGGAGGGGGGGGGGGGGGAGAATCTAATTCTTCCTGTAGAACGGAGAATCTACAGGGTGCACCCTACGCAATGCAATCTATGCGGTGCAAGATACAACCCTAGCACGCGCGCGCAGCAGCCAGCTAGTTTGGCGCCACCGACGCGGCCGCGGCGGCGCTGACCACTCGGCGCACCCCAGCGGGCACTTAACTGAGAGCGGTGTTTTGGGCGGGCGCGGCATCATGACAACGTCGACAACGGTGGGCGCGGAGATGATAGCCACGATGCTGGTGACGATGTTGACACCGACGAAGGCGCGGCCAGCGCGAGCGCCGATGCTGATCACGCCGACGACAATGACGGCGCCCTCGCGTCGGCGATGAAAGTTTTGGAAAGAGTTCGACATGCGCGCGCGGCCAACACGCGAGAGTGGCCCGCATGGTTATATTTGACACGGATCGCCCCCCCCCCCCCCCCCCAGCACGCGCGCAAAGACGCGCGAATGATGTCGGCACGCGGCGCCAGAGGCCAGCTGGGCACGATTCCGTGAAAATGTTGGAAAACCGGTGGTTTGCTCATGCGTGCGCAAGAGCGCGAGCGCACGCTCTTGTGAAAATTGACGCTGCGAACCACAGGTTGTTGTATGTTTTTTTCTCTCTTGCACTCGCTTTGAAAATCGCTGCGAAACCGCTGGCGCGCGACGGATTTCGGCGCGCGGCGCCAGAGGCCAGCTGGGCACGATCCCGCGAAAATGTTGGAAAACCGGTGATTTGCTCATGCGTGCGCAAGAGCGCGAGCGCACGCTCTTTTGAAAATTGACGCTGCGAACCACAGGTTGTTGTATGTTTTTTTTCTCTCTTGCACTCGGTTTGAAAATCGCTGCGAAGGGGCTGGCGCGCGATGGATTTCGGCGCGCGCAACGACGCGCGCGAAATGTCGAAAAACCTGCGGTGTTCTTAAGAATTCGCTAGAACGCGCGCGAACGTTGATTTTGAACATCCGCGTTGCGAGACCATGTGTGTTTTCAATGAGTTCAGGACAATCGGCTATGAAATTCCTGCGAAAACATTAGTTGTTGCAGGGTTTCGGCATGCGCGCGCGACGACACCCGCGCGCGAGCACTTCATCTCAACGTGTTGCAAGGGACACTTGAAAACTTATGATTTTTTGAAAGACGAGCGCGCGCGCATCATACCGCTTGCAGAGGATGACGAGGGGGGGCGATACTGGCTGGGCTGGGATGGTATGAGTTTAGTTGTCTGGTGCAAGATGCGGCAGAGTGATATGCAATTTGCAATGCGTAAAAAATGGATGTCGATAGCCCGCCGGGGGAAGGGGGGGAGGAGTCTGTTCTTTCTTTTAACGAGGATTCACCTTGCCGAACTCGAAATTGTCGACTCCACTGCTCGCGAAATCATCGCACCCGCCCACCCGCAACTTGGTTTGGAAACCCCATGCGGAAGCGATTGCGATGAGTGCATGGCGTTGGCTGGTGCATCTCTGCGGCCGCACTGACCCGCGCACGCTCGCTCGCGCGCGCAGCGGCCGCCTAGTCAGCTCGACGGACGCGAACGCGGCGGCGAAAACCGCTCGGCATATCCCAGCGGGCACTTCAATGCGAATCGGCGGCTTAGGCGGGCGCGGTATCATGGCATCGTCGACAGTGGTAGACACGATGATGATAGCATCGATGCTGGCGACGGTGTAGACAGAGACGACGGAACAGCCAGCGACGGCGCCGATGCTGATAACGCCGACGACGATGACGGCGTCTTGGAGTCGGCGATGAAGGTTCTGGAAAAGAGCTCGACACGCGCGCCCGGCAGACGCGCGAGAGTGGCCCGCATGGAATTATTGGACGCGGATCGTGCCACTACAGCACACGCGCAGGGGCGCTCGAACGATTTCGCCATGCGAGCGCGAAACCCGTTTGGTAGCATTCTCTGACAAATGTTGAAAAACCTATGGCTTTCTTCGAGACTCGCAAGAACGAACGCGCAAGTTTCATTTGTTTGAATATCCGTGCTGCGAAACCCTAGGCATACAATATATATATATATATATATATATGTATGCGTGTGTGTGTGTGTGTGCGTCGAACACTCTATTTTGAAATCCTTGTGTAACCACTTGAAAGATTTCGGCATGCGCGCACGACGACGCGCGCGCAATTTGCCCCATGTGTTGCAAGAATTATCTGGAATTTCTGGCGTTGGGAAAACGAGTGCGCGCGCCCAAGATTCGTTGCAGAGGATGATGGGGGGGGGTGATACAACATGGGCTGGGATGGTACGAATTCATGTTTAGGTTGGACGATGGAGCAGAATCATACGCAAAATGCAACACGAAAAAAAAAAATGCCGATCA